AGTGAATTTCAAGAATAAAAATCGGCAAGCTGATCCAGCAAACGTTATTTTGCTATATACCCGCATTATTCCTTCACCCCTGCTTCATTCTAGGATCTGCCTGGTCTCTTCTTCCGTTGATTGAGGAATAAACGCCTTCGAATGTTGATGCTGGTCATTCAGATCAGCCAATTAGGCTTTCCTGTTGCCCTTCACCCCCTCATGTCCAGGCACCCACAAGAGAACCAGCAGAATGAACTGTTGTTATGTTGTTATGTTATGTTGCAGTCGATGAGAAACGACTAGTCTGCTTCCTAAATTTTCTCGTAACTTCAACCCCCCACCAGGCAGAAGAACAACCCCAGGTTTTTGAATAAGGATGGTGGGTATCGTCATACCTCATTTTGTAGATTTCTTCGAGTACTATCCAACCCTATGATTTCACGTCGAAATTTTCATCGATGACGCAATGAGAGATACAATACTTGATGAGACAATCAAGAATTCACCTCAAAAATATTATTGTTAATAGAGTAGGATTCGAGAAGTTCTCAGTTGAAAAGTTTGTGGACGCACTCTCTGTTCGCTTCACCTCAGTTCATCATACTGCGTTTTTTTTTCAATTTCAATGTTTTCATCGAATACCCGCTTATTCACTGATTGTTCCGTTTTTTTTTTCTCGAGCTCAATTTTTTTTTCATCTTCTTCTTTTTCTTCCTATTCTTGTACTATATCAGTTCTAATCTTATCTCTTGGCTTCCTTCTCTATTCTTTCTCTCAAAAAAACTTTATTTATTTTTCTGGCTTGTTCTTCGCAGATCTCTCTCTTCATTTCCATTCGGAATCTAGGTTGCTGATATCATGATCTTGTGTCATTCATTATCATTTCTTGTTTCATGATGTGTTCCTATTGAATATTCGAATCGAATGATAGTTAACATATTCCTAACTTCGAAAAATCCTAACATAACGAATCGTGTACGAAAAAAAACAACCGGAATTTTTGACTTAATTCCCTCGGTCGCATAATTAAAAATCGAATCTCTTTGACACCGCAAAAATGTAATTTGAAAGAATTTGGAGCGGACAAAAACTTGAAAAGAATACAGTGGAATTGGATTACGCGAATTCCGTGGTGGCCAAAATTAAATCATCATTTCCGATGGCAATATCACTAGATCTCTATCACTGTGTGCCTGAATATTGACTGACATCTCTGTGTAGTGAATATGGCACCAAATATATTCAGAAGTGATTGTCTTTCTCTGGTGCTGAATCAAATTAATGAGGCATGTGAGAGGATTTTATGAGACCATTGCCTCCTGGCGAAGTACTAATTACACAATCCAATTCGGGCGATGCCTATTTCGGCACGGAAATTGGAAATATCAGGTAAAATGAATTTTAATGACCTTGGATAAATGTCCATTTCGGCCCACAACGATGAACTAATTACAAGGTAATACCTGACTATACAGGGGTGCCCCTTCGAAAACGAAATGAAGGCTCTGTAGGTCGACAAAACCGGATTTTGAGAGAAATCTGGAACACCTCCACTACATTTTTGAAAGGGGCATCGTTCTAAATCATTTTCAGCTCTGCGGCGTTGCCGCTTCTAGCGAAAAGAACCAAAACTTTGTTATTTCGAATGGAACACCCAGTATTCCATTGCATTTTTAGATTCTCCTCTGAGAGCTGATTTCATCAATGTATCACACTTGAGATCTAGCGGCAATGATTACAGAGCAATAGGGTGTTCAAAATCAAGATTTTTCAACTTCAACAATTTGGATGGATGTCCATTTCGGCCCACAACGATGAACTAATTAAAAGGTAATTCCTGACTATACAGGGTGCCCCTTCGAAAACGAAACAAAGGCTCTGTAGGTCGCCAGAACCGGATTATAAAAGAAATCTGGAACACGTCGATTACATTTTCTAAGGGAGCATCGTTCTGAATCATTTTCAGCTCTGCGGCGTTGCCGCTTCTATCGAAAAGAACCAAAAACTTTGTTGTTTCAAATGGAACACCCAGTATTCCATTGCATTTTCAGATTCTCCTCTAAGAGCTGATTCCATCAATGCATCACACTTGAGATCTAGCGGCAATGATTACAAAGCAATAGGATGTTCAAAATCGAGATTTTTCAACTTTAGCATTTTTTGCGTCGAAACTATTCATTATTGGTCAAAACGGCTTTCATTTCCCCATCTCAACTCTTGATTCACTTCATACTGACATTTAATTGAAACAGATACAGGTTGATCAGACTTCTGGATCTTGAACCACCCTGTATTTGTTCCAATTGCATGTCAGTATACAGTGAATCGGAATTCAAGATAGGATCATGTCAGCCGCTTTGACCAAGGATAAATGGTTTCGACACAAACAAAGTTGAAAAGTCTCGATTTTTTCTCGAACACCCTAAAGCTCTGTCATCATTGCCGCTAGATCTCAAGTGTGATGCATTGATGAACACTGCTCTTTGAAGAGAATCTGAAAATGCAATGAAATACAGGGTGTTCTATTAGAAATAACAAAGTTGTTGCTACTTTCCGTTAAGAGCGGCAACGCCGCAGAGCTGAAAATAATTTAAAAAGATGTTTCCTATATATGCAGGAATGTAGTTTTTTTCTGTTTAATCAACCTGAGAAAAATTGATCAGATAGAGAATGCGAACTCTCCCTGATGGTTTTAGGAGTTTGAAATCAGTTGATTTTGTATAACTCTGCTATATTCGCGAAATTCACGAAGTGGATGACATCTAGGTTACATAATACCGACTTCAAACTAAAGGAAAACAAACTGTTGTCTATGGATAAAGTGCATAGACTACATTGCTGTAGCTGTAGTCAAACTTGTCAATGACATGACATAAAGTGTTGGCACTGTTGGTAGTGATGATGGTTGAGTTGGTGAATTTTTATACATCATAACATTTTCATTTGTTAAGTGAACAGTAAACGGGTGAAGAATTGAGGATAGTTCAAACAATTGAAACTAATTATGACGAGTAAATCAATTGACATATAAAAGAACACTATACACCATGTTTACAATACTCAGATTGTACTGCTCTACAGAAACAAATACAAATCCATTGTTCTACAGGAGTTCTTCCTCTGGACCCCAACTTCAATATTACTTCATTTCATCGCCGAAGTTTGTGAACAAAGTGCAAAACTGCGGCTTTTGTTGAAGTCTTCTGCCTCACACAAAATCACATGATTAGCACGGAGAACTGCTTCTCCTTCCACTACTGGTCGGCTTTTTCCTTCTAAATAGAGCAAAATATATGTCGAAACAACATCTACAACTGGCGTTCTAATTAACAATTAATGTCAATAAATTTGAAAACTCATCACTCTTATCAGTACACAGTACACAAGTTAATGGCACTAATGGGATTGAGTGAGGATTGAGTTTGTTTCCCCCCCGTTTTGACATGGAACGATGAAAACCGGGCGCCACCTGGTAACATTGATTCCCGCGAATCCATCCATGAGATGTTATGATATTATGATTGTGACAATTGTTTCTGCCAATGCAATGCAAAAATTGTTGTAATTCTGTCAGTTAAAAACTGTATGTTACAATTTGGTCCACCACGCCCGTGTACTTTTGTATCCATTCCTATGAAGGGAGATTAGGAAAACATACTTCCTCATAATATACTTTACTCATTTATTCTTTTTGTCGAACGAAAAAAAAATATTCATCATCACAATTCCTCAGCTTACTGCGATCACATAAGTACGCCAATAAAAATCCACAAAAAAGTTGATAATGGCAATCGATCCCAACCAGTCACTTATACTCCAATATCAACAAGAATATAATATATCATGAGAGGTGTCTTTTATCAATGTTAAAATTTTTGAACAATTATTTTATTTTTCTCGCTAGTGACCGTATGAGTATAAAGATTCTTATTAGAATTTGACTGATATCAGGCATGATTGTATTTAGTTAGATCATCTGGCTACAGAGTGAGATGAATAACGAATAAAATCACTAGAAATTCAGATTTTTCATCAAGGAACGATAAAGAGTTCATTTCTCCATCTTATCATTATTCCACCACTTGCTCCACTGATTTCCAATATCCTATTAGTCAATAAGTTGCATATTCAGATTGGAGAATAATTGCATAATACCGAGCACAATACTTCAACAGATTGGAGAATAATTGCATAATACCGAGCACAATACTTCAACTAACGATAACGTAGTTGTTTGAGAAAAGCGGAGCGTAATTCATTTCCAGCTTCCACAGGATTTTCAATCACCTACTAGGATTCATCAGACTTGTTCTGTAACTGAAAACAATTCCTGATTGTCATTGTTTGTTCGTGACATAACATTTTGAAACCATTGAGCATGATTACCGTCATTTTACACATTCAGAACGAGAAATAGAACAGAATTATATAAAAGAAGAACAGTTTGTGGATAAATAACACCAGAAGTACTGAAGAGAGTTGAAATCAACATGGGGAAGGGATATAAAAAGGGTATTGAGAATGAAGAACTTTTCATCGAGAATAGAAACATCTGAACTTGTTAGGAATAATAGCTGATTTGACTGTTAGACTTTGATAGATATTATTCAGTTTCTCAATCTAAATATTGATGAAAATTCTTACTTACTAATGATTTGTTGTTATTCATCACACTCTGCAGCCAGATGATCTTACCCTGACTACTATATCATGCCTGGTATCATTCAAATTCTCATAAGAATCTCTTCACAGGATTACTTGTTGAATGCATACATTCAATAATTGTGACGTTTATAAAAAACACCTCTCATGAGATATGGATTCGAAAATGGACATAGGAGTATTTTTGACTAGCCCGAATCGCAGTAGTCCAAGACTAAGTGAATAATTCTGAGTAGAACGATATGACAAATTTTTTTTCCAAATCGTCCTAGGAATACGGTGATACAGGGGTACTGACTCGTTATCTTCATATACATCACAACACTTAGTAGTTAATGATTGTGACTTTCTTACAGGTATATCTTCAATCACATCGCTGGCAGTTCTTGCATATGAAAGGTACACAATAGTATCTAAGCCGTTTCGAAATCATGGGCTAACCAGGAAAGGTGCCCTGTATTTGGTCGCTGGTATCTGGTTGTATTCGCTTCTACTCACTGTCCCTCCGTTCCTGGGATGGGGAAAGTATGTCAACGAAGCTGCAAACATCAGGTATGGGTCATTGGTATATGTTTTGATATACGTATATTAGTAAGAAATGTTACCAGTGTATGAAAATGCGTACAGTGTATCTCATTTTGATTGAGACAGAGACAGCCATGGGGCTATCACAATGGGAAGTCCAAGAGAAGTCACAGAGATCTCGCATTCAATTCGAAATATTGTTCATTATTGCGAATTCCTAAGGTTATCTTCAACAGGAAATTAATAAGCACCCATAGTTATCGTGTTCCTAACAAGAACGAGCATTTTTCATTGCGAGCTCTCAGAGTAATCGGAAACATAACCTGAATAATTATTGGACATTTGAGGAAAAATTTTGCATTGGTTGTTGTTGAGGTATCCAAATATCAACATGTAATAAGCATACATAAATCGCGAAATTTTATCTAATTGAAGCCACAATGAATATCTATGATGGATGATTATTGATATGTACCTATACCATACCAGATACAGCATCGCCATGATATGTCTCAGAGAATTTGTAAAACAGTTGATAACCCCTCTTCATCAGGAAGTGTGACACAAAAAGTGGTAGGTATTCCCATTCGGTGAATATTCATGGGATCGCTTAGCACATACTATAGCAGCTCCTGCCAATCTATATATCAAAAAAGATTGAGTGTTTTCTGGAATATTCTTAATATATTTGCATAGTGATATCTCGTGATATATTGATTTTCAGAAAATAAACGATATCATCGCAAGTCTTATAATAATACTTCATATGATTATTCGATGTATATCATGAAGTTGCAAAGGTTAAACAGTGTCGCTTTTTCCTGTTATTTCTTGATTTCACATGAAATATTACGGAAAAAATGTTGGATCAACATTGATTCATACATGAGTGTCTCAAAATAACGCAGCAACTTATGATTACAGTTTTTCAAAAAGGACATCCAAAAGTATACATATTTCATTGCATTGAATGAGAAATCAGCCAACGCCTGTGAATATTCAACAAATTTTGAAATTTGACGAAAACTTGAAGGAAAATGTACAAGGAACAATAAGTTTCCGAATTATACATATATCATCTATCTACTAATCACTGAAAGTCCAGATGTCGCCATTCGCCATATATGTGGAGTGATTCTGAAGAAGGAATAAATCGATAGTGATGGCAAAGCTGGTGAAGAATACCTACTTGGAAATATATGTTTCAATTCCAAAGAAGAATTGGGGAATTGAGCATTAGTTCACACTAAGGTTTTTAGAATGATGAAATTCTTTATACTGTGAGATTATTAATAAATAGAAGTCAGTTATAAGATTACATCGGTTTACGACAAAGATAAACCAACATAACCTCTATTTGCAATCACACGAGTTTCACAGTTGTTATGGTGTCGTTACATGGTACAATTCTGATTAACGTGAACTTTTTACATTGGTCAGATTGATTATAGAATGTTAGCACCCATATTGCAACAAAATATTTTAAACAAGAAATACACTACTATGGGCGTTATATCTTCTTGAAATACAATGAAGGTGGAAAAATGAAATAGATTACGTATGAAGGTCACAATATTTCGACGATTCATGAGAAAAATTGATTAAATATTTTCCAGCAAGAAATGAAATATCATCCTTTCTCTGCATTTCCGGGGCCCATGACTTTTAAATTAGTAGAATTGGATTTCGTTCATCATAATAGGATTGTTCAGTCATTTATTGGTTTCAAAGATAACAATTTCAAGTCAAAAATTATATTTGACGTCATATCCATAATAATATATATACTTAGTATAACTATATCATACTATGGCTATCATTTGTAGAAAGTAGGTTATGTAAAGGAATCTGATTTATACATTATGAAAATAATATCTTTGAACTTTCGATATGATAAACGTATTGTAATACATTTTGACTTTCATCTTATGGCCTTCATGCATGATGATATAATGACAACAAATGACTATACACAATGACGTACCAATAATATTTCAATACAACTTTTCTGCGACTGGCTTATATAAGTCGATATCAACAAGTCATTATACGACTACTTTATCACGTCGATGTGACGTCGCAAAAGTGCACCATTTTTTCGTATTGCCATACCTACCGACTTTTCAACATAGTAGACATAAGTTACGGACTTTTGAACATGGTTTTGCAGATGTCTGTACAACCCATTTATAACCTATGTGTGCTACTTGGACTGGCTGTATCAACCAAAATGGGATGCACTGTACCTACATTATTGTGTTCAAATGAAAGATATTGCGAGAAGGCGAGAAGACACTAGCGTTTATTGCGTATCGTAGCTCCTTCCAAACAAATAAAAGATATAATACTGTTCGAGTCATTAGACAAACAATCTGACCAGCGTACAAGAGATAGGATCAATAGAACGATTCTAATATGTCAGACATGTCCGTTGAAATGGAAACGGGAAAGACATGTCCTCCTGGAAGAATTTCCTTGCAACCCACTAATTATTGATTATGAAACACCGATGGAAGTGTGAGAAGCGAATGAGGGTATAGGTCAGCATGAAGTCTTTGTCTCGTTTGTTGAGTTGTTGAGTCCATTGAAATGTTTAAATTCGCCATGACAATCTAATAGTAGGAGAGGCAAAGAGGTTCAATATGGATTTACTCGAGCAGTACATTTCTAAAATATTTTGCGTTATACAGGATTACTCACAAATGCGTGGCGTATCAAAGTTATACTTTTTTCTATAGCACACCTTGTATTCTATTGCATTTTCAGATTCCTCCTCATGAGCTGATTCCAACGATCTATATCACACTTTAGTTTTAGGAGAAATTATCACAGATAAATAGAGTGCAAGCACCACACTTAATTATTGATTTGAGCTGTTTCGGCTTTTGCAAATCGGCAGATTATGTTAATTTCGTGATATGTGACTAATTGCCTTCAAAATGAGGAAAAATTAACCGCGCCCGAGAATGTACAGGTGAAGATTTTTTTTTAAACTCCATTGTGGCTCTCCCATTTCCTTATATCACGCTCAAATCGTCAGATTATTAAAATGCACACTTTTCTGCATGTAATTAACGTACCATGTCTTAATCTGACGCGCTCGAGTATTCATGACGATCGATTTTTTTCTAATAATCTGATCGGCTGCCCTGAACTTTCGACACCATAAAAAGAGCCCAGGTATGATGGGAGTACTTCACAAGGTTCGAGGATACCCCCCTTATGTTAATCTGTCGTGCTCGAGTAAATCCCGAAATCTCCGCTTGGGCTTCCCTACTATAAATCGAATGAGAATGACTTGTACTATAACATTCTTATGATGTCGTCAATTCCTATTTCCCTAGTCGCTAGGCACAATCTAGGAGTAAGATCACTGCACCTAAACCAAGACAAGGTATACACGCTATCGTTCCAAAAAGAAATGAAAATGTCCTCGTCCTTCCTGAAGAACCCATAAAAGGATTGATATCATTTGATTCTCCCTCCACATAATTATAATATATTATATAGGTACTATTATTTGTTACTCGGAGTTGTCGAACGTTGCGTTATAGTCGTGCTTAATGATTGTTTGAATGAAATATCAATGTTTGATGACGTCATTATTATCGTTTTTAGACACGTTCTACGATACTTATATAATATTTGGTATTGTCAAAAATCATATCTCCAAATATATCTCTAGCAGGACATCGATTTGTATTCACATAATATACAGGGTGTCCGGAAAGGTCATGTCGTAAATGATACAGTGCTGATAGAGTGAGTCGAAATAATGTTAGTACTCCATATGAAAATTGAGTTCATTGGGCTTCGTTGCAGAGTAAATGACCTTGAAAGAAATAAGAAAAAAGAATTTCATGTACCTATAACGTTCAAACCGATGTCATGGTATCAATGATATTCGGGCAGGTACATAAACTCATACTTTATATACTTGAACGACTTTTCAGTGTTTATGTTTCATACTGAATGGGACGAATTTTTTCAGTTTAATGACAGCATTTTTGAGAGAGGTGACAAATTGTACATTTTTCTTTCCCCATTTGATTCCTTTATATTGCATTTAAAAATGATATACTTCATTGCAACGATATCTTGTACCGATTTAGAAAAAATGGCATCCAAAAACATACATTCTGGCTGTTTCAAAGGTTATAAAACTCGATATATCATAAATCTATTGATATGACTAATCTTCGACTGCTCAATAATTATGGATCTTATATATCAATAATAGTGATTCAGATGTTAATAAATATTCAACTTTCTTGCAAGAACATTCAGATCCGTTTTTCTATAAAAGGTTCTTTTGAATATATATGTGGCTGATGCACGATGGTGCGTCTTCTTATTCCGTCTCGTGGGTGATGCCTCGATCACAAACTCACTCACTTCTCTGGAACACCGTAAAAAAGTTGGCGATCTGGCTCGTTTTTATAGATATTTTCATAGACGATGCTCTTCTGGAATATCAACAATTGTTCTTTCATTGGCAGTCCCCGCGAGATTAACCCGTCGAGTTGAGGCTTCGCACCCCTTCATGGTCACTTTGGAGACCTGCAGAACATCTCTCCTCAAAGGCACGTTCATCCAACGAACAGCGAGGCTCTGGAACACATTGCCAAGGGAGGTGTTCCCCGAGGCATATTACATCCAGATATTCAGGAAGAACACCAATTCCTACCTTAATTCCCTTGGTTCTCACGATGATGTTCTCTGAACATTACAGGATATCCCTACTCGTGGAAACAAGGACATAAAAAAAAAGATCATTTGAACATCACATTTCCACATGATACTTTTCCATGATCACCCTGGTCACCTCATCTTGATTTACTTGATTCATTTCTTTGGTGCCATCTCAAATATTTGGTCCATAAAACACCTGTAAATATTAGGGATGAGCCTTTGAATCGAAATCTCTCCTCTGCACACTCCTTGAGAAATCATCATCACATGATATCTCGAATACAACGGAGATATTTAAACAACTCTAGGAAATGGGTTGAAGTTCAAGATGCACA